CAACCATTCTTTTTCACCATTTACTAAAATAAACTCAAAATGGATCAAAGACCTAAAGATTAGGCCTGAAACAATAAGTCTTCTAGAAGAGAATATCGGCAGTACACTCTTTTGACATCAGCTTCAAAAGAATCTTCTCAGACACCATAACCCCTCACATGAGGGAAACAATAGAAAGAATAAACACATGGGACTTCATCAGACTAAAGAGCTTCTTCAAGGCAGGGGAAAACAGGATTGAAACAAAAAAATAGCCCACTAATGGGGAAAAAATATTCACAAGTTATTTATCCGACAAAGGGTTAATCTGCATAATATACAAAGAACACACACAACTCAACAATAAAAAATCAAACAACCCAATTACCAAATGGGCAGGGGACATGAACAGACATTTCTCCAAAGAAGATATACGGATGGCCAATAGACACATGAAAAGATGCTCATCATCACTAATCATCAGGGAAATGCAAATCAAAACTACACTAAGATATCACCTTACACCTGTTAGAATGGCAAAAATATCCAAAACCAAGAATGACAAATGTTGGAGAGGCTGTGGAGAAAAGGGAACCCTCATACACTGTTGGTGGGAATGCAAACTGGTGCAGCCACTATGGAAAACAGTATGGAGATTCCTCAAAAAGTTAAGAATAGAAATACCTTGTGACCCAGCCATCCCACTACTGGGTATCTATCCTAAGAACCTGAAATCAGCAATTCCAAAAGTCCCATGCACCCCTATGTTCATCGCAGCATTATTCACAATAGACAAGTCATGGAACCAACCTAAGTGCCCAGCAACTGATGATTGGATAAAGAAGATGTGGTATATATATACAATGGAATACTACTCAGCCATAAAAAACGAAAAGGCGTCCCATTCACAACAACATGGATGGACCTTGAGGGTATTATGTTGAGTGAAGTAAGCCAGACAGAGAAAGACGAACTCTGTATGACTCCACTCATAGGTAGTAGTTAACATATGGACAAAGAGAACTGATCGGTGGTTGCCAGGGGAAAGGGGGGTGGGGGGAGGGCACTAGGGGTGAAGTGGTGTACCTACAACATGACTAATAATGATGTACAACTGTAATTTCACAAGGATGTTAACTTTCATAACCTTAATTTAACAAAAATGAAAAAAATGACAAAAAAAAAAAGGGGCTGGCCAGATGGCACAGCAGTTAAGTTCGCACATTCTTCTTCAGAGGCCTGGGGTGCACGAGTTCAGATCCAGGTGCAGACCTACACTCTGCATATCAGGCCATGCTGTGGCAGGCGTCCCACAGTTAAAAAATAGAGGAAGATGGGCATGGATGTTAGCTCAGGGCCAGTCTTCCTCAGCAAAAAGAGGCAGATTGGTGGCAGATGTTAGCTCAGGGCTAATCTTCCTCAAAAGTAAATAAATAAATGACAAAAATAAAAATCTTACAAAAGGGGCCAGCCCTGTGGAGTAGTAGTTAAGTTTGACATGGTTTGCTTTGGTGGCCCCGGTTTGTGGGTTCATATCCCGGGCATAGACCTAGCAGCGCTCAGATCCCAGGGCAACCCATATATAAATTAGAGGAAGACTGGGACAGATGTTAGATGAGGGCTAATCTTCCTCAGGAAAAAAATTTTATAAGGCTTCCTGAACTGCAAATAAAAGGTTCTATACAATTTAGTTTTAGAAATTTAAGTTGGTTCTCCCATTACTTTTCTACAACTATTTAATGACCTGAATGCTTTTTGTCTATTTCTAACACAATTATGTGCTGACGAACACACAATACCTATGCAGTTGTCTTGCAATTCTGTAATAACAATGATGGACTTTAAACACTAAAAATTTTTCAAACATTGAGAAAACTATTGTAAAAGATAGTTCTTTACCAGTTTCATATAGTACAGAATAAAGATTGGGAAGGCAAGAAAGAAATTATTGCTAAATAACTTTCTCTTTGGGTATCCCTCTCCTTCATGTTATATAGTTTGAAAAGATAAAATTTGCTTTGGGATGGGAGAATGTAAAATGTTACAATTTCAAGCTGTTTTCTCAGTAGTGTACCCTACCTAACAAACAGTAGAGATTTGCTTTTTTAAAGGGGAGTATTTTGGCTGGAAAAGACACGAACAACAATAAGTGTGCTATGGTTTGCAAAAGAAATTACATCAAAAAATGCATTATAAAAAAGATTAAATTGGATTATGATATTGAAGTACTACGAACACTGCTAATATTTCAAAACTGACTACAGCTTTAAACCCCAAACTTCAGAGAGAATAGCTAAATCTTGAATAATCAGTGAAATTAATGATATCAATAACAATATGAAAAATTTATATAGCATAAAATGTCAAACAGTCAGAGGTTTAGTTACTCCACCGTTGTTCCGAGGTTAGTGGAAGCAGGTGTCATTCACAATGTGCACATTGATAGCATCAGACTCTGTGCAGGCAACAAAATACACAACACGTCTACTGCCATCAGACACTTGAATTAATTTGCTCTGATTCTTATTTAAGTATTTGGGCTGATACAAAAGAAACACATATTTTCTCCTTTGTATATTATACTATAAAAAGGAATACAAGCAGATACCATTTTTTAAAATGTTCGGTTGATAATGTCAGTAATTAAACTGAATTCCATTGTCTAGTTACAAAACTAGTTATTTAGCATGGTTTTTCTTTTCTCCTTTTTGAACAATGCAGACAAAAATAAAGATTTTTCATCTTAAATAATCCAGAAGTCCAGATTAATATATTTAAAATGAGTAAAACAAAATCTTGTTAAAAACATCAAATGAAGACAATGAAAGGCCGTTTATTTGAATTACACTTATTAAGAACTTGCAACAATTCATACAAAGTGAATGTATCTTAAATTAACTAAAATGTCTTCAAGAACTCAAGATCCTAGGACAAATTCTTTTCTTCTGTGCTATCCTGGCTCTGGAGCTGACCGTGCCATTTTGGATGTCTTTCCCCACTGAGAGTAAATTAAAGTTTGCAGTATTTTCTTTTTCACATTTTTGCTGTGTGCATGAGCTACATACAGGTGATCCTATCTACTCTCATAGCTGGTCTGTATGGTGTGGGGAGGCTGGGGGTACAGAGGCCATTATCCTAAGGGAACCAGGAAGTCTAGAGGAGTCTTTTACAAACACCAATATTATAACTTGACATTTAAGCTGAAAATCCTTAAATGGCTTCCTCCTTCTTTTGACAAGACCTTTAGGATTGAGACTGGCTACTCTTCCCAATCCTCCCTCCTGCCACACCTGCATACTCTTACACGCAATCAGTCACACATTCAGTCGCACACAGAGTCACACAAGCTCAGATGCACACACTCAGTCACATAAGTCACACCCTCGGTCGTGCATACCCACACACTCAGCTGCACATACTCAGCTGCACACAGACACACGCAGTCACACACTCAGCCGCACATACTCAGCTGCACACAGACACATGCGGCCACACACTCAGCTGCATATACTCTATCACGCACACTCAGCCGCACATACTCAGCTGCACACAGACACACATGGTCACACACTCAGCTGCATTTACTCTATCACGCACACTCTGCCGCACATACTCAGCTGCACACAGACACACGCAGCCACACAATCAGCTGCATATACTCTATCACGCACACTCAGCCGCACACACTCAGCTGCACACAGACACACGCGGTCGCACACTCAGCTGCATATACTCTATCATGCACAGTCAGCTGCACACTCAGTCGCAGACTCACTTGCACACTCTCCATGTGAACTGCACTTTGCACCCTTGGTGTTTTCAGCCATACTTCTCGCTTGCTCTCCTTCTCGGACTTCAATGTGCTTCCACACATTGTCTAGCAAACATTTCCAGCTTGTAGCAAGTGGTAAGCAGTATAAATCTATGAAACCAAAAGGTAGAAAGCAAGAAATATTCCAAATCATTAATAGTGGTTAAGTTAATAACTCTTTTAATTTATTGTACTAAGGGTACCTTTTTGTAAGACTTTTTCTCACATATGCTAAATTGTATTTAAGAAGAACATGATTTTTTTATAAAGACTTTTGCAAAAACACAAAAAGATCTTAATTTTCTTCAGAACTCATTGCAAAGCGCTTATCACCAGGATGTCCTCCTCTGTGTGTTCACGAACGTCTTGAACATGCTTTTACTGCAGCCCTCACAGAGACAAAGCTACACAGTGATGTCCAGCTCCTCCACAGGCATCCTCAGTTTTGCATTCCCATAGTTTGCACACTATCTGGTACATAAGATACCCTTAGTAAGTCCTTTCTCAACTTGTTTGCCAATCTTTGTGGACAACCAAGAGTGAAACAAAGCTTACTGTACCAACAGAAATCTTAAAAAATAATTAACTAATAAAAATTTAATAATAAAAATGAAAATAATTTAAAAATAATTGCAGCAATTAAATATAAACTATAGTCATATATTAAAGTCTCTCAAGTATTATAAAGCATTTATAATATCAGTATAAATCCAAAAGTTGAGTCCTCCAAACTCTATTAAATAGTCAGGCGGAGAGGGGCCTCAAGCTATACAAAAACACTATAATAATGAAAAGAATGTAGAATGAAACATACATATGCATATAAGGAAATGAACACACACACATATACATCCATTCAACCAGTTAAGAAAAATCAAGAAATGATGTGGATATCATAGCATATTAACTATTATCCAAAGTCAAAGTGAAATAACTAAATTGCTTCATGTTACTGACTCATAATATTTTAAGCAAGAAGGCTCTTATCAAGAGTAAATATGCTGAAAAATAGAACTACACTGAATGCATCCCAGAGAGATATTTGATATAGGGAAATTTAAGAACCTGAAACACTCTCTAGGTTTTCCCTATTTAGTTCAAAACTGTTTGAATTTATTCTTGACTTAATTATTCTTTCAAAACAAAGGTTTGCTATTTTTAAATACGTACACAATTAATATATTTGCATTTAACAAAATATTTAACTTACCCTGGTAAATGTGCCTTCAAAACTATGAATATCCAATTGTGGTTTCTGAGCATAAACGTAAGCATTTATAGAAAAAAGGTCCTGGAATACAGAATATCTAAATTAATTACATTATAATTAAACAAAATTACTTGAAAAATTTTCAATTACCAACTAGTATTTTTCATATATTATTTACCAAAAGTCATGCTTGATTTTCTTATATTCTGCGTGCCAACACTATGAATTAGAATGGGAGATAACTAAAAGAGACGATTTTTAAGCTCAACAGAGGTGTGGCGATTTCCCTTAATTCTAACAGACTGCTGCTGCCTAATGACAGGTGTGTGTCAACAGTACTAGGAGACAATTGTAATATACAGATGGCCTGGGGCTGCTGCACGATTCCAGTTTTCAAGGTGGAGGCTGTGAATGAGCTTTAGAAGTTATACAGGTATCATAGTATTCAGTGGGGTTTAAGTAATCACCACAATTCCACATAAGTTTTATAAAACAATTTAGTAAATTCCTAGATCTATTTGCACATGCTTTTACAGATGTGTTTACAGCAGCTACTGCATTCACTATAAGCTAACAATCGCCTTCCTTAAAGCCATGAAGACACTGCATTTCTCCCTTGTGCGTGAACCATATTCCCACGACCTGTATTTATAAAACTGTAGGGGAAGGTTTTGACTATTCACACATCATAGCTACCTTCACAGAATTAGTTTTGAAGCAGAAAAGATATATGCTTCATGTTACTCCACTTATTGGCAACATGTAAAAGTTTAAACAATTAAGTCTCCGGAGATGAGATCTTAAGCACCTTATTTTAAGATAATTATAAAAGTATGTTTGTTGATCCAGAAAGATTAGCTTTCAAAACCCTATGTAATTTTATTAATATTAAAGGAGTTAAATTAAGCAAAGATATATTTATAATAAAAACCATATCGCACATGAGATTTTCATTGGGCTATTCACTAGACAGCCCAGGGAAGTGTGACTTTGCCAATCTTCTGTGTGGTAAACCCATTCTTACTAAACTGACCAGCTTACACTTGACATTATAAAACTAAACCCCAAAGCATACAGTATGAAGCATACCTGAAATCATACAGTGAGTATGTCAAGGATAATGTGGATGTAAAGTAACCAATTAAGTTTGTTATAACCCAAATATGCTAGTGTACTTTTCAAATTGATGCATGTGGACCCAAATAATACTGAGTATATTATATCCACAAATGGAGATTACGTATCCTTGAGCTTTTTAGGGTAAGGTTTTAAAAGTCTTTTAATTCTTGATATTTCAGTCGTTTTTTAAAAAAATTCTCTTAATTTGAAATCAGAAAGCAGACAAATAAAAACAATACAAAAGTTTTAAAAAAATCTGTCTTTACTACAGGCCTGAAATTTAAATGAGATAATAATGACATTAGTCCAAATAAATGAAGAATTAAAGACCCATGGCCTGTATTTGTCTCTACACTCCTGCACAGGACTCTGCATCAGGAAGCACCCTGCCTTCACATGGCCTCTATTTCTAGCTTCTCAGCTGTCCTCTGAAGGAAGACTGGGATTTCTCTTCCATCTCATAGCACCATAAGAGTTAACAAGAGGTGCCACATAGACCTGAACATAACTGAAAAATGCTCAGTTGGAGAGTCAAAAAGAAACTTCCAAATTTAAAGGAAATTCACTAATATGAACGCAGGTTTGATACAACAATCTAGTGAGTGCTAATAAAATTGATGAAAAGAAAAGAATAACCACCCAAAAATAGGACTCTCTACCATACGATCCAGCTATCCCACTACTGGGTATCTATCCACAGAACTTGAAGTCAGCAATTCCAAAAGTCCCATGCACCCCAAAGTTCACTGCAGCATTATTTACAATAGCCAAGACGTGGAGGCAACCTAAGTGCCCATCAACAGATGATTGGATAAAAAAGATGTGGTATATATACACAATGGAATACTACTCAGCCATAAAAAAGAACAAAATCGTCCCATTTGCAACAACATGGATGGACCTTGAGGGAATTACATTAAGTGAAATAAGCCAGATAGAGAAGGACAATCTCTGTATGACTCCACTCACATGAGGAATTTAAACCTGTGGACAAAGAGAACAGATTAGTGGCTACCAGGGGAAAGGGGGGGTGGGGGTGGGCAAGAAAGGTGAAGGGTGCACCTACGACACGACTGACAGACGATAATGTACAACTGAGATTTCACAGAAAGGGTGAAGGAGTGCACCTACGACACAACTGACAGACGATAATGTACAACTGAGATTTCAGAAGGTTGTCACCCATCATTAACTCAGTGAACTGAACACGGTGAGCTTCCTGATCTGTCGTGAGAGAGCAGGTGCCAACCTCTCGACACTCCCAACGTCCTTCCACACACATGACTTGTGCTCCCGTCCAGACTCTGCTCTGGAACTCTCCTTGGAGCGGATGCCACATCTGAGGCTGAGCTCTCGTGTTCTCATGGTGCAGCCTAGAAGTCTCATCGTTTGGAACCCTGGACTCACAGATCCCAAACACCTGCCCAACTCTAACTTGGACCCGACATTGCCAGGGCTGTTCTGGCAGCAGCACAAGCAGTGCCAAGCTGAGTGCAGGAACAGGCTCACGGACACACCTCAGGCCTGGGAGCTGTGCAGAACTGGGACCTCTAGGAGGGATGTAAACCATGAAAACATCCTGGACGCTGCCTGGGCTGTCTGGGTCACATGAGCTGCCTGCAAGCAAGAGCTCATGCTCGGATGGGCCACCTGAAATCGAACTGCTACTGGTCCCAAGCAGTGACCCCTGTCCCCAGCTGCAAGTGGGAAGGAAGCCCATGACAAGGACAGTGAGCACCTCACTGCCCTGTCTGTCTCGGGGGCGCCTCACGGTTGTTAATTTGGTGGTTGGCATTCCAGATCAGCTGCAGTTGGCAGCAGTGGACCACGAGCCTGATCCCACTTCCCTCACCTTCCTCCCTTGTGCATGCCTTAATAAGGCTTTGATTACTAAGTGCTGTTGTCCCAGGAAGGGAATGATCTGTTTTGGGACACTCCCGAGACTCTAATTTTCAGGACAAAAATGGGTGGTGGGTTATATAAAGCCATTTTGAAAAGATTTGAAGATTTGGATTTCTTCTTGACCAATTCCTAAACATGATGTCTCTTGCTGGTTAAGTTGCTTAAAAATATTTTTCTGTAAAAAATGCTTCATGTTTCTTGCATAAGACCCTTCCAGATGAAAGGTCTGGGAAAGAGGAGGGGATGACTGAAAAGCAGAGTTAGGATTGCTGCATGGTGCACAAGGACTGTAGCAGCAGAGAAGAAACAAGCCCTGACACTGACACTGCCAGAGTAGAGAAAGGAGGGCAAGCTCATCTCTGCTTCTCAGAACAGTTGGCATGCTCTCCCCTCCTGCTGGAAGAAACTCCTCTGCTGTCTCTGTGAGCTTCTACCAGTGTCTGAAATTCAAATTCCAGCTCAGCTGAAAGACCTGAACGAAGACCTCAGCAGCAGCCCCCTGCAGGAAAGACGGAGTTCAGAGTTTGACTTTAGCCAAGTTAACTACCACTTAAAGCCAAACAAAACACCAATCCTCTTCAGAAGAACAGAACAGAATCCAGTCTCTACAATGTACCATTAACAATGTTGCAGATACAATCCAAATTTCTACACATACGAAGAAAAAAAACAAGAGATCCATATTCAAGAAAGAATTCAATCAATGAAGACTAATTTTGACAGGACCAGACATCAGAATTAAGAGATGAGAATTTCAAAGCAGTTATTATAACATCTCAAAGACTTAGAGGAAAATATTTTCCTAAAGAATAAACACAGAGGAAACCACAGCACAGAAAAAGAAAATATATTTAAGGGAAAAAAAACCCAGAAATTCTAGAATTGAGAAACCATAGTATCTGAAATAAATTCATTAGACGGGTTTAACAGTAGATTAGAGATGACAGAATAGAGTCAGGGAGCTTGAAGACAGGTCAAGAGATAACGATTCTGAAGAACACAGAAAAAAAGATTCTGAAAACACATGTGGTCGCAGTCCTGCTGACAGAACATCAGGAGGTCCACATGCTTGTGGCTCGGCTCCTGGAAGGAGCAGAGCCAGAATGGGGAAGAAAAACTATTTGAAGAAAGAATGACTAAAAATATGCCAAATTTGTTGACAGCCACAAATGGACAGATTCAAGAAGCCCAAAAACTCCCCAGCCAGACAGTTAAATTAAAAAATTTCAGTCATTGCTAAAACACCAAAGATAAAGAAAAATCTCAAAAATACCTAGAGAAAAATGACACATTACATACAGGGAACAACTATCAAATAACACTGGTCCCTCAGTACAAATAATGGAAGCAGAAGATGGTGGAACAAAGTATATTGAAAGTGCATGGGGGAAAAAAGCTGTCAACCCAGAATTCAATGCTCCACAAAATATCATTCACAAAAACAGATGAAATAACGATATTTGCAGACAAATGAAAATGAGAATTAACGGCTAGCAGACATACCCCAGGAAACGCTAACAAAAGTTCTTTAGCCTGAAGGGAAATAGCTAGTAGGAACTCAGATCTTTAGGGAAGGAACAGTGAGGAACAAAAATGGTAAATATCAGAAGAAAAACAAAAATCTTGTTTCTCACTTAAATTCTTTAAAATATAGATAAAATACTGGAACCGTTTATAATTATGTAGACAATGCATATAAAAAGTATATAAACGCATATAAAAATACATGCATACAAAAAAGGCACAATACGCTTTTAGCATAAAGGATAGGTAGGGTAAATGGATCTATTCAATGGGAAGGTTCTTACCATTTATGTGAAGTGATACAATTTTAACTTTTCACAATACACTTTTAGTTAAACACATATTGTAATCTCTAGCAACTACTAACAAGAATGCAAAGAGGTACAGCTAGATATAAAAATAGAATTCTAAGGGGCCAACCTAGCAGTGTAGTTCTTAAGTTCATGCACTCCGCTTCAGCGGCCCAGGGTTCACAGGTTCGGATCCTGGGTGTGGACCTACACACACCACTCATCAAGCCACACTGCGGTGGTGTC